GGGGGGGGAGGTGGAGGCGGAAAAAAGAGATATAAGTCGTTTATAGGTTTGTGACGTCCTAAAAGATTCAGAGCTCATATTTCAGTTTCATAGCTTGTGTAGTCTCAAAGCTAAATTAAATTATAAATACACGGGGACACAGACACGCGCACACATACACACACAAACATACACACATGATTTTGCGATGATGCGTTTTCTGAATCAATTGTGAAAAGAAAAACGCTTAGTTCTACTTCAAAACTTTACCAATGGCTTTTCTCTTCTAGCCTCGGTACATCACCGCAGGCCGAAGCAAAGGATCCGAAGGATATTTTTCACGTAAGAGAAAATGGTTCTGTACTACCACTGCTGTTACTGTGTGTTTGTAAAGAGTGAGAATCGCACTGCCGAGAGAGAATGCAGCGGCCATTACTATTTTTATGCGGGCTATTGTTCACTTTTAATTGAATATTTGATTTTCTTACATTGGCCCGGTTGTGTATGGCTAATTGCAGACACGTCGGCCTGGTGTGTGTGTGTGTGTGTGTTCCGTTCCTGTCAGTGCTTTGAAATGTTGCTTCAGTGTGCTACTTCCTCATACTCTTTTCAAATTCATTTCGCGGAATAATGTGTGCGCCCAGTTTTTGTTTGTTTCAAAAGAGATTCGACGATTTCAGTTGCATTTTGAGTAGTTGGTAATAGTAAATGAATGATGTGTGTTTAGATCCATTCGATGGGTATATTGGGCCAGTCCACTGTCCTACTGTTTATTCTCGCACAACAACTATGGGACAGTAATTGTCAGCAAATAGTTTTTGTTGGAGGTATTGTGTTTTTCTTGCGAACCGACACATTTAACTTGGACTGCACTGCACAAGATGCCAGAGCTAAAGTGGATGATAGGAGAAGCTGCAGTATTTCATCTGTTGGGCTTCTTTTATGCCAAATCAAAGAGCTACTGCTGTACTATAAGATTCCCCAATGCTTTTACTGGCATTGCCGACTATCCTAACCCAGTTCCTTGCGCAGGCGGATCCAGGTGGCGGAGAGGCAAAGGATTCCCCCCGCCTCCCGTCCCTCCATCGGCACAGGCACCAGCGCTGCAAAAGTTGTTCATAAATAAAGCTAAAGTAATTCTAAATAAGAGTCCGTCTTAGTTTCGCCTATGCCCCCCTGATTTGTTTAGTGCGAAAAAAGTTCTCGCAGATTTAAATGACCATAAAAAAATCTTGTAGAGAAAGTGCTGTTAATCACTTGTCGCATGCTCGAAACGCTTTATAATTATTAAATTGAGCCGTGAAAAGCTAAAATACTGGTAATTGGGTAATTTCCACCTCATCCTGAAACTCTCGAGGATCCAGTAATGCTGCGTGTTATGAATGCGACTCCCTTCTTTAGCAAAAACTGATGCGAAAATGGCTGTCGGTCAAACATTCAAGTGTGACGAGGGCACGGAGATAGTACTTTCTATTTTTTCCTTTAATTTCCCGAAGTGTCGTATGTTTTGACGCAAGGTTCCATTATTTCTAGACTTGCCTTTCTGCGTTCTAGCATCTCATGGTTGGTTTCGATGGTTATAGGGCATGGAAAAAGAGTCAGTCCTATTTTTTTTAAATAATATCTTTTCACTTGGCAGTTTAAGTGGGGTTTTTTGAGAAAGAAGAAGGAAAATGCACAAAGCTTACAACAAATCTTCGCGAGTTTTTTTTTGCTCTGAATTAGCGATTCGAGCGTTTTTAATTTGGTTTAAAGATTTAATGCAATGATGATTTTTTTCCGAATCAAAACACTATTGTATCCTTTTGTTCTTTTTTTTTCAGTAAACCTGGCCACTGACGAAATCAGATTTCTAGCTTAAAGTAACATATTTATCTTGATAAATCATTTTATTCTGTTAATTGAGTTCAGTTTAGTCCTCTGAAGTGAACTCTGAACTGCAGAATTTTTGCTGTGACTAATTACAGCTAAGTTCAACTCAGCAATGAATAAAATTCTTGATTTTTCAGAATTCAATCAGCCACCAGCACCTGACCTTGGTGGAAATGATGTACTGCCAGAAGTGCTTTTCACGACCACTGCCGAAAAAATGAAAAAAGATCTGTACAATGGTAAGGATATACCTCCGGACACTCTGATCGATCCAGATGGCCGCATTGCTGCTTACTCCAAACGCCGCAAACAAAAGTAATTCATTTAATTTTTGCCTTTCTGGTGCGCTGAAGAATAGGGTTATCTGCGCTGAAGCAGCTTTCGGCAGCATATCTTTCACTGTGCGGATTTTGAAATGTTTTTTTTTTTTTTTTTTAAAGTCGTTTTTATCTTTTGCAGTCTGATTTCAGTTTATCTGCATCAGATTAGTTAATCAAAATTTTTATGGCTTTTTTCTCGAATTGTAAATACTAAATTTTATATTCGGACAGCCGGTGTGGTGATTTGATGTGAGTGATTTTATTAGGAAAAGCCCATATGCCAAGCGCAACTATGCCAGGCCCTTTGGTTCTGAGGCACATTTCTCCATTTGATACCTAACTGTTTAAAGTATTTATTCCATCTCCTCCCACTGGTAGTTTAGGTTCCTGCGAATATCTCACTTAGCATGACTTACCCACCGATTCTCAGCAAAGCGAGTGTGTGTATTTCTTGCATGATCGCTACAATGTCTCGCGCATTGCTGTTCTAACGAAAGAGTTTGCTTTCAAACGTGAACATGAAGAGGTAAACTCCAAGCATTTTCCGTTCATTGGTTTTAATGTTACAACCAGTATTCTTTATTTTTGCCTGTGACCACATTTCGCATCCATGTGTCATTGCTTTCAGAGGAGCAGTTTTGATGAAATGGGGGCGATGCTTTTTTTTTTTTTTGATGTATGATTTTCTAATATTCCCATTTACGACTCTTTGAGGCCTAAAATGCCATCACTAGCACCCGGTAATAAACCTTTT